AATCCTGGCCAGGACAGACCTGCTTTTGCTGCGGGGGACCTCGAAGTGACCTGGGGACCCTGAGGCCTGGGCAAGTTACTCCTCTGAGTCTCAGTTTCTACCCAGCTCTGAAAATGAGGTTTCTGTGATGCTCCATCTCTTGTCTCCTAGGAGACAGGCTCCCTTCTCAATGTAGCCAGGACGTGGACCACTCAACAGAAAACTGCTTTGTCATCCTCAGACGCAATCTTGGCTGTATGGGACGGGCTCTTCCCCAGCTAGGTCAAAATCTAGGGCTTGTCTAATCATTCTCAAATAATAGAAGTTGTGAAAAGATCTCATTTTAATAATTACCACTTCCAGTTCACTGTAGGAATAAAATGTGCAAGCCAATTCCACGGGGCTTCCCCATCCCACTTCCACCTGAAATATGCACCCTATCAGCTGGCTGTACTCCTTCTTACCATGTTACTACAGCATATGGGGCAGGGCAAGCACCTACCTCCGGAATTCCTACCACACTCTTATCCAAAAAATGTTTTCTCTTAATTCTCAACCATCCTTCTCCTGCCTGCCCACCTGCCGGGAGGAGGGACTGGGTGAAGGATCTTGCTCCAGGCACTTGGCATCCTAGTAGGGCAGGGGCTTCTGCAGGAAAAGCTGCACCTGGGGGCCTTGGCCCAAGATGAGACAGAAAGCATTCCGTGTTAACCTCCTTTCTTGGGAATGGTGGTGAGAGTGTCACAACGCCTCTGACTTAGAAGGGAGGAAAAGGAGGAAACAGACATTGTGGCTACAAAAGAAAAAGTCTCTCATTGGGTGGGAATTTTTTTTGCAGGAGAAGTGGCCAAAAGCAGAGCTCTGGGTTGAGCTGCTAGGGGAGGGAGAGCACCAGACACTTTCCCCCTTGGGTGCACCTGTGACCCCATTGTCTGTGGCTCTGCAGGTACTCAGAAAGATGGGGTCACACTGCTGAGCTGGGCCTGTTGTCCTCTACCCGTGAGGACCCTGTGGCTTTCAGAGGTCAGAGCTCAGCACAGGCGCACCGAGCCCTGGTGAGGCTGCCAGGCCCCACCTGCAGCCACCACCCTTGCCTGCTCCAGTGGGCAGTTTCCCTGCTACGGGAGTATCGAGGGTGCCACCCTGTTGGCTCTGGCCGTCTGCGCTTCTAGGCTGTTGGGAGGTCAGGCATGGGAAAGTGCACTGTGAGTCAGCATCAACTTTATGCACTACAGATTAAAAAATAATCAAGTGTTTCACACCCTTGGGATGAGCAGAAAATGACAAAGTCTGACGCTACCAAGTGTAGCAGAACAATGGGGATTTTCACACGCTGCTGGTGAGAGCTGGCAGGGTTCAGGCTTAGCCTGAAGCTTATTATATAGTTTGAGGAGCTTCTTTATAAAATGCTATAAAATTAGGCAGTGATGGTCTTGAGTTTGATTCAAGTTTATCAGCTTCCTGGTAAATCCACCGCTGAGACACGTGAATTAGAATACTCATCTGGGACAGATGTATGTACCTTGTGACCCAGAAAGCTAAATCTTCCATGGATTCAGGGAGAAACTTCCAACAGCAATGATAAGAATGTTCCTGACAATGACAACAAAAAGAATGTTCTTGGCAATGTTCTTTGCAGCAGCTAAAGGTAACAAATCAGAAGTAGCCAAAATGTCCACCAACAGAAGAAGGGATGGACAGTTCCAATGAGTCTAAGTCAGCAACATCATGTTGTGTGTGGCAAAGGATATGTGCAGTGAGATATAATGTTCACAAAGTGTGAAAATACGTAAAGAAATGTCCTGTTCACAGTTCTGTATGTAGTGAAGCGAAGCCTAGAGCATGCTTGGGTGTGGTCAGCGTCGCTTTCAGCTGAGGGCTTTCCCTGAGGCTGAAGGAAGCACAGAGAGTAAGGCAAGGGTGGGGTACCCAGTGGACTTATTATCTCCCTATAATAAAAAGCCAACAAGGCAAAATAAGAAGCTTTGACAAAGTAGGACAATTATTATGTAGGCATCTAATAAAATACATACACTTGCTTGTCTTCATTCGAGTCCCTGGTTTGAAATCCGTCCTTATCCCTGGGAGTGGAACTGCTGTGTCATAGAGCTGTTTTTTTGAGCAGTCACCCAGCTGTTTCCCAGTGGCTGAACCATTTTACATTCCACAAGCAATGCACAATGCAGTGCTGGGCGATACTTGTTATTTTCCTTTTGTTTTGTTTTGAACTTTTATTGCAGGCTTTGCTCCTGGGCCTATTTTTAAAATAATAGATATAGGCTGTGAAATGGTACCTCAATGTGGTTTTGACTTATTTTCCTTGAGAACTAATGTAGTTGGGCAGTGTCCTATTTTTCATTGCATATTTATATTTCTTCTTTAGGGAGATGTCTGTTCAAGCCATTTGTTCGTTTATAGAATTAGTTTGCTTGCTTTGTTTCTTGAGTTGTAATATTACATAATTTGAGAAAACCCTCCCGAGGGTGACTCAATCTCTTTCAGCCCTTTAATTTTCTCTCTGTCTTTTTTTTTTTGGATTTTTTTCCGGTACTGGGAATCGAACTCATGACCTTGCGTTTGCCAGCCAGGTGTTGTGCCGCTGAGCTAAATCCCCAGCCCCAGCCCTTTAATTCTCCAGTCCTTACACACATCACAGCCCACACAGCTTCATAGGTGCAATCCACACAGAGCGAAATTTAAAGACTTGGGATATGCATTCTTCTCTTCCTGCCCGGCACCCTGTGAGCCCATCCTTAATCTAAGGAGGAAGAAAGAGACTCACAGATGACAAGAGAGACGTCCAAAGCCTCTTGGGAAATGACATGGGGAGGTGGGGGCAGAGGAGAGCGATTGATATGGAAGAGAAACAATTTCAAAAACAAAAGAGGGAAGTGATTCAGGTAAAAAGAAATTATTTCTCTAGAAACCCCTATGACTACAGTTCACAAAATCACAGCAGAGGAGTAGTTGCCACTAAGAGACAGCACAGAGATTTCTCAAACCCCGAACCCTTCCTGCAACGACTGGGTGGGTGGGGCAGCCGGGTGGGATCCTTCTGTCCCCTTCTTGGGCACGGATCTGCAGATCAGATCACCCTGCCTGGCTGGGCTGTTCCTAGCCTCAGGGCCACTCCTGCCCCTACCTGAGCTGAGAGGAGGCAGAGAGAGCTCTGGCGGGGGTGGGGGGGGTGTCCCTTCTCTGAGACTCACCCACACCACCTGCCATCTCCTGACCTCAGCCCTCCTGAGGGTCTTGAAGGAGGGAGGGAGTGAGGGAGGGCGAGAGAGAGGGAGTTGTGGGGGTTGCACCGAGGCTGGAAGTCCTACTACCATACTTTCGTGATTAAGCAGCTACAAAGCAGGGTAAACTGCTCACCCGGCAGTTTAAGAGACAGGAAGATCTTCCTCTCTGCCTGATCAAATCTGACCATAGAACTTTTGGTCACTATGGTCTGGCTCTAAAGGAACTACTCCCTGTTTCTTCCCAGATCCCGGTTTTCCGAAAGCCAACCTTGGACAAACACAGACTTAGAGATGATAAAGAGAAACACCCCAGGAGCCACTTGAGGGAAGAATGACCCACTGGGCTCGCCCAGTGCCCTGTAGGGGAGCTTGTACAGGGGCCACCCAAGTTCCAGTTTCAAACACACTCTGTGCCAGGTTCTGCCCAAAACCTTAAGCAACAGAGCTAACTAAAGAGCTGGCTGACCTTGGCCAGGCCCTTCCCCACTTCTGGTCTGCAAGTGGTGGTGGTGGTGGGCTCACTGGTTCCTTCTAAATGTCACTTCCATGATTCTGGTTATGTCCTGGGCTTGGAGTCACTCTGGATACACGAGGATTTGGGTTCATTTGAACTCACATGGGATGCCACAAACTCAATGATGCCACTGAGCAACTGTGCCTCCCTCACTTGCCCTTTTCCCCCACTCAGAGCCTGTCCTCTTTGGTGCCCACCCCACCCCTATCAGACAGGAAGAAATCCGGGTCGGGTTTCAGACCATCGGCTTTCCACATTTTCTTTCCCAACCAACTCTGAGCGCTGTCACTTGAGCCGTGGGGAGGGGGGCGCGCATGAAAGGTATCCCCTCGGCCACGACGAATCACACCCACGGAATAAATAAAACCCACCCTTCTAAGTCACCATCTGTGGCCCCTGGGGAGCTGAGGCTATGGGAGGTCTGCAGCCTCCACACACAGCGCGAACACTCTACCAAGAGCCAATAGTCGGAAAGTCTCCCGCTGCCCCTGCCCCTCCAGGCGGGCCGGGTGGGTCCAGGGCTAGGGAGAACCAAGCTCCAGCGAAGACACCTCTCCCCTGCTCAAGGTCAGCGGAGGTAGGTGGACGCCCTCACTGGGTCCTTTTGCTCCCCCTTTACAGGGCAGAGCACGGAACACATGATGACCCGTATTTTCTTCTTTCCCAGTCAAAACTGTCGCAAATACATTTCACTTGCCAGAAACTTTAAGAATAGAACAATCCGGATTCAATTCCTAACCTCTAAACCTCGATTGGCAGTACTAAAGTTACATTTGTCTATTCTTTTTTTTTTTTTTTTTTTTAAGCCCTTTCCCTTGATAAAGTTGGGCACCTTGGCAAGGACCTCGCCTTCCAGCGGCGCGGCGCGGGATGCTCTTCCTGGGCACCGCAGTAGCTCACAGCCCCGACACCAGCGCGCGGAGCGGACCTCTCCTCTCTGCTTTCCCCTGACCTGGGATGCGAATTGGGTTTTTCCACCCAAGAGACTGTTTGCCCCAGTTCCACTGGTCTAGAAAGGGACACTGGCATGCCGAGAGGAGGGAGGACCTTCCAGGCGTGGACCCTCTCGCTCCATCCCGGCGTCCTGGACGCTCCCGGCACGCGCGTGGCTCGCAGCTCTGGGCGCGACATCCCCGAGCGAGCGCGGCGCGGCGCGGCCCATCCCGTCCCCTCCACGGCCCTGGCGCGGGTGCGCGAGCCACTCACAAACTCAAAGACCATCCCGTCCCCTCCACGGCCCTGGCGCGGGTGCGTGAGCCACTCACAAACTCAAAGATGAAGAGCAAGTCGGGGAAGGTGGTGAAGACCGAAAAGCCACTGGGCAGGGTGCTGCCACCCGAAGCCGCTGCGGGGGCCATGCCGACGAGCTGGCGACGGCCTCGGGACGGGACGCGCGCGCTGCGGCTCCGCGATGACCACTCGCTCGCTCCGCGGGACCCAGTGGCCCGGGCGCCCTTGTGCGAGGGTTAAGAGCTGGAGAGCCCGGGGCAGAGGAGGGCGGAGCCCCAGGCGCTCGTCCCGCCCCCAATCCTCTTTCTTTACTTTCCCCCAGCCCCCCCAGCTCCAGGGAGCCTGACCCGAGCGCTGCGGGCGTCTCCCCAAGCACATCCGAGGCGCCCTGCGGACAAACGGAGCTGGGGACAGGGGTCCGACTCCTGTGCCCCACCCCGGATCCCACCTTCCACCGAGGAGTCGGATCAAGCCACTTCGGCGAAGTGCTTGGCAGCTTGGCACGCCCTCCAGGTGATCATCGTCCCTTAAGATTGACAGCCATCTGGGCCAGGTCCCGACACCTCCCAAGGACTACGCCCTGGGGTCACCATTGCTTTAACTCAAGTTGAGTCTTTGCTGGGTGCGTCAGTGCGCGCGATCTCCGCTTCCCCGCTCAGGGTGGGACGCCCGCACCACAGCTGCAGTCAGGGAACCAGCTGAGCCCAGCGCTGGCCACCGACCCTGCCCGCTGCGTGGTTGCAGCCCGGTTCCCGGAGCGGTGCCCCGGGATTCCGCTCCCCTTGGTCTAGGGGCTGAGCGTCTAAGGGCGGCAGGAGGTCGCCCTCAGCTGCCGGTCTGAGGCTGGGCAGATTTGTGTGACACCAGGGAGCCGGAAGGGGCACTGCCAGAGGGGGTTGCCCGCACTGGTGCGGGTGGGTGACCCTTTCACCTCCACCCGTGGCCTTTGACTCTTTTCTGCTGGTTGTTTTGTTTTTTCCTGTATCGCAATTTAGATTCCTTTTTGCTTTTATTTTTAAGCAAGACTCACTCTCCAGTAGCTTTCCGTTTGGTATTCCTAGTGTCACTGCTCAGTGTTACCCCCACCCTCACCACCCTGGGCTTTACCCCAGCTACCACCAGGGCCCAGGCTCCCTGGCTTTCTCTACAGGGCTCTTTTTTCCTTCCCGTTCCTGCAGGGAGAAGTAAATTTTGGGATATATTTTCAAAAAGCAACAATCCATGCCATGAGCTGGCCATTATGGAAAGGGACCAGGCATTCAAAGTAAGAAAATTTCCCTGTGCCCCAGTGAGCCTCTTTAGGGCTGCCAGTGTTGGTGACTTGTGACTGGGCTCCCCCAGCAGGTCCCCAGGGAAGGACGTTTCTGGCCAGGATGGGCGCTGTCTGAGTTCTCTCATCCTGGCATCTTCTTGGCTGTCGGATGGCCCCATTGGGCCCCAAGGGGACACCTTGCTTTTGAAGAGTCTTCGTGGGGGCTGAGCCTCAAAACAAGACTGAGGGCTCTCACCAGCAAATCCAGCCAAAGCTACTTTAGTTTCTCTATTAGTATAAAATAATCAAGATTACAAAGGTCCTATCAACTCAGTAAGGTCTTTGGCAGGCCTCTTTTATTTCATTACTGATTTCAGACCTTTGTTGCTAAGCCCTGCACACATGCGCCTTTGGCTTTGGGTGAGAGTTACGGCTCCTGGTGCCCTAGTGAGGCCCAACTGTTCTAGCCCTCCTGGGAGAAGGTGCAAGGTCCTTGGATAAGGTAGAGGGGGAAAAGCCCTTGGAAGAGGTTATGCAGGACCAGGAAGGCATCCTCACCAAGGCCAAGGCCAAGAGGGCTAGTCCCTATCTCGGTGGCCTTCTCATCTCACATGGACCCCTTTGTTGGATATTTATCTTTTTTTGTTTTGTTGTGTTTTATTGGAACCAGGAACTGAACTCAGGACCTTGTGCTTGCCAGGCAGGTACTTATGCCACTGAGCTATATCCCTGGCCCTACCTTTTTCTTCTTTTTTGAGACATGGTTTCGCTATGTGATTTAGATTAGCTTTGAACTCACTATGTAGCCCAGGCTGGCCTCTAACTTGCGGCCATCCTCCTGCACAGCTTCCCGAATGCTGGGATTACAGGTGTGCGCCACCACATCCGGCATGGATGTTCACCTTTTAAACCACACTCGCCACTGCAGGCTCCTCATCTTTACCTGCCATCTCCTTCCTTACCCATCATAACCTCGGCAGCTGCCTAAGGACCTGGCTGGTGGGAGGCACTCTGTTGAGTGCTAGGAAGGCTGAGGGGGAGGTGGAACTACTCTGGTGAACATGAAGAGCATTGGTGAGTGGAGAGGGCTGTTTCTTCTTCCCCAGGCCACTTGCTCATGATTTAGGTGGCTCACGTTTATAAGTCTAGGATCATAGCTTGGTTTCAGCAGGATATGAAAAATAACATTGGCCAGTAACTCCCTGTCACGTCAGTCTTACCAGCAGCATAATGGGTGTGACCTTGTGCGTTGGTCTGGGCTGGATCTGGGGCTTCTGTCACACTGTAAGGTGGCCTGGGGCAGTTTCTAAAACGGAACGCTGTGGAGCTAAGACTGCTGCCCAGCTGAGTCAGGAACAGTTCACATCTAGCTCGTTTGTGGGTGGGAGTGGGACATGTTTAGGGAACGACCCATGGGAAAGGAATAAATGACAGCAGGTGCAATTAGCTTTGGAGGCTGGTAGGATGGATCTCATTTTAATGGTGAGGTAACAGGCTCAGAAAGGTTAAGCAGCTTTCTGAGGCCACACAGCTGCTGAGTGGGGGAGCTCAGCCCTGAACCTGAAAGGTGCAGGCCTCCAAAGATGCTCACAAGTGCTTGATGAAGTCTGTGCCCCACATGGCTGATTACCATCAAATGCCATGCTCTGTGCAGACGTTCAACAGCCTTCCAACTCCAATCTCTGTTCAGCTCAGGCTTGGGCCTGGGCACTTGTTTCCTGAGGCATCTCTGCCCAGTTGGTTGCTCTAGACCTTTCCTCCCCTGCCTGGGGACACAAAGGATTTGGGGTTATCATCTTGGCTATGCTTAGGGGAGGTAGGAGCAAACCCAAGTTCTGCAAGGTACCTGGAGCCCTTACCCCAAAGGGTTTTGTGTAACTGTCACACCTAGCCAGGGATTTCCAGGGATGGCGTGAAGGACTGAGGACCCCTGCTGGGCAGACACATCAACGGCACCACAGCTGCCCTGGCCTCAGCGGGAGGGAAGCCAGCATGGCTGGGGCCCACTAAGTGCCCAGCACAGCTACAAGTTCTTGGTCCACATGACCTCCTTTTCTCCCCAGAGCCCTTCCGGTAGGTATCTCCGCACCATGCAGGCTCAGGATGGGAGGTATTGCCCTGGTCACGTGTCAGTCAACCAGGCCTCTTGAACCCGGAAGGCAGGCTGTGTCCTCACTACCTCGGTGCCAACTGCACAAAATCCAAAGGTTTGAAAACTACAAGTGACAGCTGCTCGTCAAAGGACCAGGGATGGGCCTAGAGGGTGTCCTGTGCTCTGTTACCTCCAGTGACAACGAGCCCAAGCCTCGTTCTTCTTTCTTTTCTGCAGTCCTTTTGAGGTCTGTGTTCTGTGGTGCCAGGGACTTATGGTGCTCTGCCACCTTCTGAGAAAGCCATCAGCAGGCTCCAAGTACCTGGCAGTGTCTGGGTGTCTCAGCGATGGGGATGCAGGGTGGAGGGCGTGTGAGTAGGGAAGACAAGTCCCTGCTTCCTCAGAGAGTTCCATCCAAAAGCAACACTGTGGTCAAGTTGATGGATACCTGGCCCGGCCTTCTCTGGGCTAGGTCTGCCCTGGGCACTTTCTCTGTCTCTGTAAACAACACCATGGGGTGGTGTCTTAGTTTGTTCAGGCTGTTTTGACAAGGCCTGTTCAATGGGGCAGCTTAGAAATAGCAGGAATGCATTTCTCATGGTTCTGGAGGCTGCACATCCAAGATCAAGGCCCTGGCATACGTGGCACCTGGTGAGGGTGCACTTCCTGGCTCATAGAGGTCCCTTCCTGTTGTGTCCTCGCATGGGGAGGAGGTAAGGGGTCTCTCAGGCTCCTTTTGTAAGGGCGCTCACCTCATTCATAGGGATGGACTCTGCCCTCACAACCAAGTCCCCTCCCAAAGATCTCACCTGCTGATACTGTCACTCTTGGGGTCAAGGTTCAACATGTGAATTTTAGGAAGATGCCAGCATTCAGACCATAGTTGGCGGCACATGGACCAGTCCTTCTAAGCAAGGGTGAGGTGGGCAAAGGCTGCACAGTGGGACCCCCATTTCTGAGCCCTTTTGGGTGGCAGTGCTATGCCCTGCTTTCCACGCCCTCCCCCCACCAGCCGAGTTCAGTAAGCTCCAGGAGGAGAGACCACAGAGGAGGGTAGACACAGTCCCTGCCTTTTTGAGTTTACTACAATGTACAGGAGACAGCTAGCGGTCAAACATACATATGTGATGATGCTTGGTGCTGGACGCAGAATGCAGGGGCTCCAAGAGCTTCCACCAGCACAGCAGTCTGGGCCTAGGGTGGGGACCTCACAGAAGTGTGAGCCGGGGAAATAGCTCAGTGGTGCAGTGCTGAGTTAGATTCCCAGGACAAAAAAAGAAAAAGAAGTGTCCCTTGAGCTTGTGGGCAGTGGCTAAGCAGGTGAAAGGGAAGGAGTTTCCTGGCTCAGGAACAGAATTACCAGTATTATAGACTGGCAAGTTAAGCAGAATACAGCAGGCAGCCAGAGAGGCCCTGGACCCACGATAGAGTCAGAATGACCAGGCCTTGGTCAGGTAAGTAGGAATTTGATGTCAAGAGTTAACAAGAACCAGGTGAACAATTAAATCCGGACCTGTAACAAACAAGGTGATAGATGGCCACCATGACCACTTCTGCTCCTACCTATCTGGGAAACTTATTTCTTTCTTACTTTGGTCTTTTGATGGACCACTTGGATGGGATAGAGGCCAAGAGGTACCTGCAGACATATGCTTACCTGGACTCCACATACGCCCATTTCTACTTGAAAAAAGCTTGTTTCTGTCCTTTAGGCTGAACTTAGTTAACTCAGAATGATCTGAGCCCTGGTTATTTTTTAGCCGAAAAACACTATGACAAAGAGTCCTTGTGGCAACCTACTATCTGGTCCCCTCCTGACTATTGGGAGCTATTCCTCTCTAATAAACATTCCTCCTTTGTCCTCGACTTCATTATTTGACTTTGAGAGATACAGGCCCAGATTACACTG